CTGCCCCACCCCCCAGCGCGCAGGGCGAGGGCGGGCCCGACTGTTTCGTAACCCGGCCGCGGGGGGCGCGGCGCTCGGGGTCCCGGCTCCGCAGTAGGGAAGCGGCCTGTTGCTGCTGCTCCCGCCGCGAGCTTTCCTGCTGCAGCGTTCCCGGCCCCTTCCCGGGAGAAAGGAGACACCCGGATCCAGCCGGGGAAGGGGGGAGTCGTCTCCGTCCTGGTAGCCCTAGAATCTCCGCAGAGCAGCGAGGCCTCCGCTGGGGCCTTCCTGGCCAGAGAGCTGCATCGTCCCCATCAAGGGCTAGAGGGGCTCAGCAAAAGGTGGTGAACTCTCAAGGCCTTTCAGATACATGCCTGGGGCTGTATCAGCCCTGCCCAGCTTGGCTGTGTCCTACCTTCTGCACCACCATACTGAGCCCAGTAAACCTTACCTAGAAATTAGGCCTCAGCACTCCCCACCCCCTAGCTCTCCAGCTTCTCAGACACGATTCCTAGTCTAATGTGGGAAGTAACAGAATAAATGGTTTTGGAACAGTTCTTTTGGCTTTTTGGTCAGAAATCATTTGTGCCAGTAGTGTTACAACAATGCAAACTACAAACGTTAGTTCTTCTCAAACACTTGCAGTTACAACTCTCTCTGACCACACCAGGCAAAGGCACAGCAACCAATATCTATCCTAAATCTTCTAAACGCAGTTTCAGAGTAACAGACAAACATAAAACAGACAATTTTCTAAAGTGCCTTGCATGATGCTGGAACAAAGAAGTCACACACAAACAAAAAATGGGGATCCTAATTCCAGGCTATCACTAGCAAACATTGCCCAAATCCCACAGCCTCCCTGCTGTGGAAAGAATTCTAGCGGAAAGTAACATTTTTATCTGCACCTTAGAATCAGCAACAAAATTAACACAACCAGCCTGACTCTCTTCTGGAGTACATGTGAGTAGATCTTTTACCATACTCACTTTTATTGGAACTGCCTGTGGATCAGAACAGTCTAGTCACAGACAACAGGTTACCAAAAGACTTAGGTTGTCATCAAATATATTAATCACATTGTTAGACATGGGCCCCACAAACAATCTCAATCGTATGCATTTCTAGAGCACCAAACAAAGACATTGGAGCTGCATGACGATGTCCATAGTGGATTTTATAATAAAAAATATGAATTCAAAATGTCAACATTCACATATTCTGTTTAAGATGTGTCTAAAAAAATAGAAGATATGGTACAAATAACAGCTGAAATCAAATGACAAAATCAGATCACTGGACCTTTGTTAATGCTCCATTTAACAACATTCAAGAAATTAGGACAAAACAACCCCCACTTAAAATTACATTCCATTGCATCTAGTGTGATATCAGCCTGTTATTCATATGTTGATAACTTTACAGAAAGGCTATAGTCCACTCATCCATTTGTCCATGTTTTAGTAAAAAAAAAATTACAATGAACTCATGTACTCATCCATTTGTCCATGTTTTAGTAAAAAAAAATGTTACAATGAACTCTTATGCTTGTCTTCCATGTCACTATGCTACATTAAAACACATACAAAACATGCTTGTCTACTGGAATATAACATCACAAAATTGTAAATAACAATGACATGACACATAAGAAACAAGTATCTATTTCTGTATAAATATAAATATCAACACAGGCACTTCATGATAAGTTGTCTTATTATATGTCTTTGCAAAATACTCCTACTACACATTTGGCACTAAATCAAACTAGCACCTCTCTGCAAGCCATCCGCCCACTGAACACACATTGACGTCTTGAAAGTCTACAGTATTAAACTTGTAGGAAAGGAAACTATAGGAAAATTCTCCTCTTGTTCATGGCAGGCAAGATGAGTTTAGTCAACAGCTTCAATAGATGCAGAGAGATCAAAAGGAGGATAGAGGTTCCATGAGATTCAAATATCTCATTAAATAGCAAGCAGAAAATTATAGTTTACATTACTGAAGTATTAATCTGTCCTGCTTTCCACAGAATTTTTAAAGTGTACATTTTCAATCTTTTCCACTGAAAAAAAGGCCTGATAAAAACCCAATTGAAATAGTTGGAAAAACTTCTGTTGACTTCAACAGATTTGTAGTAAACTGTGGTTCTGTTACCTCAGACTTGCAGAAAAATTGTCTCCAGCAAAGATGCGAACACTCACCCTATCCTATTCACCTCATTTACGTTAAATTCATTGCCCAGAGGAGTACACACATAGCAACCTTTAGATTTTTCACTTAGCTAGAATGGAATTAATAAATAATTATTTCTTATCAAACACTAACACAAGGTTTAGTTTCACTCTGGAGATTCACCAGATTCCTTTGCGATTATTTTTACTGGTTAAGGACTTACTTGTTCACTAAAAGAGTTGCGTTAGAGTTCTTACA